CTAAGAGACTTCTTTATATCTTAGAGCTCTTCCAAACAAACTTCTACAGTATAATTCTTGTGTAAATCACTATATTAAGCACTAACCAACTGCACATGCAAAACCATATGGCTACAAAATTTATTAGAAGAATTCCAAATTTTAGGTATTGGCTCAATCATATTAGGATATGTGTTGAATATCCCATATTATATGCATTAAAAGTTGTGGCTTATCTAGCTATTAACTAAGATATTAGCTATGCCTTCTCCTTGATTTTTGGCATATTTTGTTTACAATGAATGATATCCATTGTGTTTCTATAATACATCATATTTTCACAACATGGTATTAGAACTAGATGAAAAATACCATAGATGAATATTATTAGATGTAATTTGGATGAAAATTTGGATATTTTTTATGGATAAAAATTTGGATATTTTTTATGGATAAAAATTTGGATGATCTATCAGAGGTCCATTGTTGTTGGAATGTTGCCCAAGCTAAGGAGTTGTTGGAATATTGCTAGAGTTGCTAGAGCCTTGTTAAAGCTTTGTTGGAACCTTATTGGAGTTTTGTTGGAGCTGGAATTTAATTCTATTGATGTTGATTTTAATTTAATTAAATTTTATTTGTTATTGGCAATAAAAAAAAATATTTTTTTTGCTCCACTATTACTTAGTACTACTATTACTTTCCTAATATTACATTTTGTAAACCATTTGTTAATTGTTTCTTTATAGTTATTTTTTTGCTATTGATTAATTGTATTTGGCAATGGCATCTTTAATGGATCATCACTTTGATCAATTAGATGAAAAAAAAAATATGGCACATAGATATTTGTTATGAAATACTTGATGTGCATTTGCAAGCTTTATATGCATGTAGATAGGACATTAAAATATCTTATAGATATTGATGAAAAATTATAATGAGAATCAAGTGAAGCAAAAACAAAAACATTGATTGCACTTAATATTAAGCCTTTGCAATTAACTCATACATGCTAATATAATACTACAAAAAAAATGTAGGATGTATTAGATAAGATCCAAAAATCCTTAAGAGTTATCATTGAGATATTTTTAATAAAGAAATTGTATAATCTTTGATATGTGGATGAAAAATCTATAAAGTTTGTTTTTGGAGGGATTTTTGATTTTAAAGATTAATATATTAAAATAAGTGGTGAAATTAGCAACTAGAATATAGAATTTTTTATACTTATTTTATTACCAAAATCTTGACATCCACTTATTAAGTCAATTGTCTTGAAAAAAAAAAAAGAAATCATAGAAGAAGTAGTGCAATCTATTCCATTTGACAAAAAGATGCAAAAGAAGGAGAAGATTAATTTTCTATTTTTTGCTTAAACAATGCATATAAGAAAAAAAACAAGTATTAAAGAAGCACCATCTAGAATAAAAATAGAGGCCTAAGATTGATAAGTCAAAAAGTACTTATGAGGCATGTGAAAAAAATGAGCATTGGTAAGATGATGCAAAATATCTTAAAATAAACAGAAATGGTGTAGAAACTATTAGAATTACTATTATTTTTTTAGCTTAAAAAGTATCATTTAATTTAGTGATAATAATTACATCCTTATCTCGATTACGGCATTATGTATGTATTGAAAATGCAACAGATACATACATCTAAAGAGATAGGAATAAGCTTCTTAATTTTGATGAAAATGTGACTATCCAACTCCAAGGCTATAATAGTGGCATTAGCAAATCATAAGGCTCAAGTGAGATGCATGTCACAATTTTAGACCTTATATAAAAATATATTCTTATAGTTATGAAGGATGTCTATTGGATTCCTAGAGCATGTGATATTTTATTATCAACTATAATTTTATACAAAAAAAATTAAAAATTTAACTTGGATGTCAATAGAATTGATTGGATTCTATCTTTAGGTGACTTATTTGGTAAAACTTACCTTATGCCTTGTAAAATTAAAAAAGTTGTTACAATTTTTAGCTCATCTACTTTGAATTGTATACTTATTGAATGACATCAAGGATTAGCATATGCTTTGATGTATACAATACATGACGTAGAGTGAATGAATTGTGTTGAAGAAGTAAAGATTTAGGTAGAAAAGGATAAAATACATATATGTAAATCATATATTATTGATAAGGCATATGAGCAATCTTTTTCTAACAAGCATAAGCATGTCAATGGTATTTTAGATGTAATAGTGTCTAATTTTAATTCTTCCAATATAACTAACTTTGGTGGTGCCAAATAGTTAGTTATGTAGATTGATGAATATTTTAGCTATTGCAGCCTTGTATTTCTTCAAACTAAAGATCCATTACATATTTCTTTTAAGTCTTAGAAAGTAGAAATACAATGAAGAACTAGATGAAAGATAAAAACTTTTCTTACTCATTTAGGTATTAAATTTTTGAATAGTAAGCTTAATTTTTTCTTTAAAACTGAAGATATTTGGCATATAATCACTCTTGCATATACACATGAAATTGCCAACATAGCAGAGCATATGATGCAAACTATTTTTGAAGAAGTACAAATACATCTAGATGATGCCAAGCTGGATCATTAGAATTTGGCATTTGTAGAAAAATTTGTGACTTGGACTTGCAATCACCTTCTACTTCTAAGAATTTTTAACTTTTTAATATCTAAGGGAATTAGAAATATTCCAACTTCAAGCCTCAAGATTATATATGCATGATGGATTGGATGAAAAAATGGTTGAAAAAGAAGCAAACCCTATACCAATAGAAGTAGTGGAATTCTATCAACTAAAAGTAGAGGCAACCACTCAAGCTCTGCCACCAAGATGTCATTATGTAGGTGCCATTGACTCCAAAAATATTATAAGTGGTAGTAGAATGCATTGCACTCCTTACAAAAAAGACAACAACTTTATTTGAGGAAATTATGACTTGCCCATTAAAATAGTGATGTGATTCATATTAATGAATATGTAAAATCAAAGACTATTAAGCAAGCCATGAATTCTTCTTTTTATAAAGAATGGAGTCATGCCATGAAAGAAGAACTCAATTCTTTGAAAGATCATAGTACATGGAAATTTTTATTTTTGCCTAACGATAGGAAGGTTGTAGATTCAAAATAGATTTTTTTAAAAAAAAATGCTAGTAATGGCTCTATTGAATATTTTAAAGCATGATTGGTTGCAAAGGACTTTACTCAAGTGAAGGATCTTGCTTACTAAGGAACTTTTATACTAGTTGCTTGCTTTACAAGAATTTGCATATTTATTGTAATTACTTCTAAACTTAATTGGAATATGTTATAACTTGATGTTATTTTAGCTTATTTAAATAGCAATCTTAAAAAAAAGATATTTATATGAAGTTTCTAGAAGGTTTGGAAGTTCCATTGGAATACAAAAGTAAGATGTTGCAATTGTTAAAGATTTTATACAATTTGAAGCAATTTGAACATGGATAGAAGAAGAGTTTGGATAAATCTTTATTAAATCTTAGTTGGGAGTATTTAAAATAAGACCTTTATTTATACACAATGTACATTAAAAGAATAGTTCTTACACTAATTATCTATATTAATGACGTACTTTTTAGTGGTAAGAACTTTAAGATCATTGTGAAATGCAAAAATGAATTATAAGAGTGCTACAAGCTGAAAGACCTTGGTGAATCTGGTGATTTTTTTTGTATTGATTTTTTGTAAGATAAGAAAAGTGATAGTATTAACTTGAGCTAAACTAAATATATTTGTTGAAAGTTGGAAGTATTTGGAATGAAAGATGCGAAGGTAGTTACTACACCAATGGTACAAAGTCATGTCACTAAACATAAAAATGATAATCTTTTGGATATAAAAGGTATAAAGCTTTATTAAAAAGCTTTAGATTCATTATTATACCTTGCAAATGTTATAAGATATGACATTGCATTTACTTGTCAATAATTTACTTAATATATGATACATTCATATATTTTATATTAGTAAGGAATTAAACAAATATTTCATTATTTGGAAGAAACAAAATATTTGGTATTGTAGTATAGAAGAAAAGAAGCAAATTTGGAACTTATAGGCTATAATGATGTAAATGGAATAGGTTGTGCAAAGATATACTATTCAGTAGAAGGTTATATATTTATATTGGGTGGGACAATTATCACTTGGTCAAGCAAGAAACAATCTTTAGTTTCTATTTTGTTAATAAAGGTAGAATTTGCAACTTTGATTACTTTAGTAAGGGAGACTTTGAGGCTTCATAAAGTACTTAGGGATTATGACATTTTTGAGCTAGAAAGGATTTTCATTTATAAAGATAATAAGAATGCTATTACTATTGCTAAGAATCTAGCTCACTATAGTTCTACAAAGCATTGGAATACAGAACATCATTATATTAGGCAATGTGTGGAGAACATTAAAAAAATAATTCTTATACAAATTAGTTTAAAATATTGTTCTGCAAAGCAATTGGCAATAGATATCTTTACAAAATCTCCTCCTAAAAATAAGTTTTTAGTCTTTAGGAATATGTTAGGTCTTATTTTAATAGAAAATTAAGTCCTACTTCTAAAAGAGGAGTGTTGAATGTCCCTCTTGCACATCGCCTCAGGTCCAGATATCAAATACAATTCAACCCTTCTAGCTAGCCAATCGAAGAAGTCTCTGAAGAAAACCAGAATTGCCTAGAGAGCAAGAATCAACCCGCGTCTAGGCCTACCATCACAAACACCTTGCAGCTTGTCCATCGCAAAGAAATACGCACGCAAGAACCAGACTTTGTCTAAGAGGGGGTGTTAAAACTTCTGTCCAAAGATCTGTTCATTTCATCTGTTCATTGTAGCATGTCAGCACTTCTAACCGTATAACCATAGTGTTTAGTTCGGAGTCCTCCACCTTCATATGTGTGCTGATACGCTACCCGTAGCGTCACTGTTAGTTTGTTATTCAATGTTATGTTGCCTTCATGAGGCAACTGTGTTCTTTTGTTTATGATTTGTAGTACATTCTTGTTTTAATATGGGTGACGCAGCCAAGAACTCCTTGGCATTGTTCACGCCGTTGCTACAGAATCAATACAGCCCCTCCTATTACTACGTCGGGGTGGAGAGCATCAGTGTTGGCGATCAGCTCGTCTCAATTCCTGCCTCGGCCTTTCAGATCAACGTCAAAGGCACAGGGGGTGTTTACTTACACTCGGGGACCACAATCACACATTTGCAACTCGCAGCCTTCACTGCAATCCTGGAAGAACTGTCCATGGGTCCTTCTGAATACGATAATGATGATTTCACGCACGGTATCTAAGAATCAGGCCTATTAAGTGTTTAGCTAATTTTTTTGGACTTCATTCGACAAGAATCAAGGAGGCAGATCTCGTACCCCGAGGCCGACTGAACTTACATATTGGAGAACGTTTCCAGCGCTTCTCCGTTGAGTCCAATATTACCATCGATGACTGTGAGTTTCACAAACGTCAACTTCCAGATTCCGGCGTGAACCTGTGGATGTTTGTAAACGAAACGAAGCTGACCTATTGCCTTGCAATGGACTCAAGCAATGACTTCTCTGTCATCGACAACTTTCAGCAGCAAAACAACCTCATTGTGACTGATGTGGCGAACACCCAAGTTGGCTTTCTAGCTACCGATTGCAGCACCTTTTAACTCCACTCCCAGCAATGCATGAACTCATCAGTTTGCGTCCTAAACGATAACCATGGTCTCAAAATAAAATATTAACAATATGACGGGCGAGTGTTCACCCTACACACAGGAGTAGCAACTGCTCTTGAATAATATATTCAACCTTGATTGTGGTAGAAGCTATTCTCATCACTACCATTTGGATGTAAAAAGAAGAGATCATGTTGATGTCCTAGATGGGTAGGAAGTGTTGGGCTGTTTTAAACACAACATGCAGGATGTTGCGTACAGAAGTTGATGAAGAAACTTGAAGAATAAGCAAAGAAATAAACTGAATAAGCTCGAAGAATAAGCAAAGGAATAACAGATAGATTTAAAAAACTGGAATACTTAGAACAGCGAGTAGTTTAAGTACAAATGCTCTTCTACATAGCACCGAGCTAAATACTCACAGTTAACGAAGAAATAACTGAACAATCATAACTAATATTTATTTTACTAGCTACAAGGAATAATATTCTAACACCCTCCTAGTACTACAAGATAGCTTATAAATCTTGGATGTGCTCTATGAAGAGTTCAACTCTTTTCCTTGTTATGGTGATGACTAAGCTAGTGCATAGACGGTGGTTTTTGTGGCGCCTTTTTCTCCCACTCACTTTCGTGATTCAGTGAGCGTAGCATAGCAGATTATCACGATAGACTGAGAATTTATTGGTTACTTCAATGTTTGTCTAATAGAGTACTTAGTATAGAAAGAGCTCTAGACAAATGATGGACTATGACAAGAGGTTCGATTTTGTGTGGCCTGATGTCCGGTTTATTCCATGAAACTATTGTAGCGACTCATTTGAAGATTTTGAAGAATCTGGCAGTACAATTTTTCAACTGGGAAGTGAACATTTTAGTTAACAATAACAAGACTTTGTGGGTAAATATCTGCTTGAGTTGATTGAGTTGATTAATCTTGAGATTGTTGTTTTTTTTTTTCTCTACAGTATCCTAAAAAAAGTCATAGAGTATCCTAAACAAAGTCATACAGTATCCTAGACGAAGTCATAATTAGGCCCCAAATTAGCTAGAGTACAAACATTGTTAAGATCCAAAAGATTATCCTTCTTCAATTTATTTGCATATGATTGGATAGGTAAAATTGACTACTAGAAGTACTTAACTTATGCTTATTTGGAGGATTAAATATAGAATAACTTTGACAAAGGATATGATAAGTATAGTAGATATGATAGAAACATGAATTTGGTTGATTGGGATTTAAATAATTGGCTTTATGTTTTTGATAGAAATTTGAGGTAATAATTTCATAGAGTGGTATCTAAAAGAGAGAATAGAAGATTTAGTGTTTGGTGTATAATACATTTGTATAGGTTGATCATTTTTGTAGGTTCTTTGCCACAACTTTGCAATTACATATATTCATCATACTTTAAGTTTTTTCAAATAGTCTCCTTCTTAGAAATTTTGCAAATATGTCTATTACTTGTTTGATCAAAGAAACAAAGTTGAGACTAATAATTATTCTTTTTATTTTTTTCTATTATAGTTATAATGGATAGTAATATGTTTTGTCTTTAGATTGATGTTTGGATTCATTTCTATCTTCATGTTAGCTTTATTGTCACAAAAGATTGGAACAAATTTAGAAATTTATAAATCAAGGTCATATATTAGCTTTTCTAGCCACAATATTTTTTTGTAGTTGTGGATAGGTCCTTCTATTTTTTCTCTAAGAGAGATAAGGCTATAGCCATCTATTTCTTTGATAATCAAGTGATGGATCTATTTTCAAGTAAAAATATGAAATATATTGTGGATCTTTTTTGTTAAAAATCTCTAGCCTAATTTATATTAATATAGCTAGAGATTTAAAAATTGCTACATTTTTAATATAAAATTCTATATTCTTTTATTCTTATAATATAACATAAAATTTTCTTAGTTGCTTGAAGATTTAGGATCTAAGGTTTGGATAAGTATCTATTTGTGATTCCAACCACATAAGATATATCTAAATAGGTATGCATGAGGTGATTTAACTTTTTAACTATCAATACGTAATAAGATGGATCTACTACATCTTCATTCACATTTATAAGAAACTTTAATTTAGTTATCATGAAAGTTGAAGCTAGTTGATAGGATACTAAATCAAAACTTTTTAATGTTTGAATAGTATAACTACATTGAATGACAAAAATTTAACCTAGAACTTTGATGTATTTGACTTTCAAAAACATGGCTATATCCCTTTTAGTAAGTTTGGATATCTCAAATTGTGATTTGATTTGTATTTTGAATTAATTGATCTATTATAAGCAATTTCTTATAAACAATAAATTATCAATATATACAACAAAGAAGAGGATTTTTTCATCATGCCTTATAATATATAAATTATACATATATTTTTTGAAGAAGCCTTCTTTTCTTAAGAAAGAATCCTTTTAGCATATTATACTTTTGGAAGCTTACATAGCTCATAGAATGTCTTATATAACCAACAAAGAAGGTGTTCTTTTCTTTTAATACCAAAATCTTTTAGTTGTATTATAAAAACTTTATCTTATAATTTTCTATGAAGGAATACAATATTTACATCTATATAATGTAGTTTTTACTTTCTTTATGTTGTTAGTACTAATAAAAGTCTTATATCTCTTTATTTTATTACATGTAGAAATGTGTCTTTGTAGTTGATATTCTTGTATTGCTCAAAATTTCTTGCAAGTAGTTGAGTCTTTTTTTTTTCTTATTAAGCTATTGTTGGCCTTCAATTTAGTTTTAAAAACCTATTTTGTAGATATGAACACTTTTTATGGTGGTAGAGTGATTAATACATAAATATTATTTTTATGGATGGAGGTGATTTTATCATGTATTGCATCACACTACTATTTATCTACAATGGCATATTTGAAAATTGAAGGTTCAACTATTAGATCATATAGGCCAATAAAATAATCTTTAAACCATTTTGGCTTAATTTATATCTTTTTACATTTTCTTAGATTAGTTTTTATTGACCATCTAATTTTCTTATTGTCAAAATTGGAATAGATTCTTGTGTATAATAATGTGATTAAATATTATCTTCAATCCATTTGTCAAATGATTAAAGATTATTAAAAATGCTTGATAAGGATCATTTTTTTAGATCTTCAAAGACAAAGTGATATAAAATAAATTTAAATACTAATAAATTGATTAGAAGATTTTCATCAATAGAGTATAAATATGAATTGTCTTTTCTTTGGAAATAGCATGTATTATTGTGTCAAATAAAATGATGCTTTTGTAGCACATATTAGTGATGGAAGTAGAAGTTGCAGCTTAATGATTGTTCTATCTGCTGCAAAAAAAGTCAATATAAGAATTGATTCTTTTCATGTAATTCTTATCTTTTACCATCACTTGGATATTTTTTCAAAGAGAAAATTAGAATCAATAAGAATAGAAAGTCCAAAGAGAAGATTAATTCTTACTTGGACATAGTTAAAAAATAAAATTTTTTAAAATCAACATCCATTCTTATTTGTATTTTTTTTGTAATAAAGGGATATAAATCTTATATTTTTTTGATGTATTGTCAAGTCCTAATAGTATCTTTAAAATAAATTTGGAGCTTAATTTATTAAAATTAATTTTATTCAGATGAAAAAAAGTGATACAACCAAAAAACTTTGATTTGTCTTATATTAAGTTTTTTTCTTGAAAAATGCTTGTTTAGAAGTTTTTTATTGTTTGCTTAAGTTGGTATACAATTTATTTAGTGTACATTGATATGGATTGCTTCTATCTACAAATTTTTTGATATGTGCCTTCTAATAAATATAATTCTTATTTTATTTAATATAGTTTGATTTGTATGTTCTCACACTCCATTCTATTAGGATATCTTTATAGTAGATAATTACTGGAATATTTTGTATTTTTTTCAGATACTTGATAAATTCTTTTGAAAAAAATTCATTGTTCTTATCTAATTAGAAAGTTGATGTTTTGTATTTGAAATTTAATTTTTCTATTATTATTAATAACTACTTAAAACTATTTAATACTAAATCTTTTATTTTCTAAAACTAGATCCATAATTTGTAGATGTAATTTTCTATAAAAAAGATAAAATATTTAAATCTTACTAATAATTGTATTGACATTGTATCACAAAGATTTGTACAAATTAGTGTTAAAAAAATTGTTGATCTATTGCTTAATGATGTAGAAAAAGATTCATGTGTTTCTTTGCCTTATTTATATATATTATAGGTTTGAGAAGCTAAATAAAGGAGAAAAATTTTAGAACTTGGTTCTTAGTGTCAAGAATACTAAGACTTAAGAAATTAACATGCTTTAATTGGCAATGTCAAAGTTGAGATAGGTGAATTACAGAGGTGTTATTTACTTTAGAAGTTTTTTATTATACTATTTTCTTGTATTACACAATAGTTAGTTGGTTTACTTTTGAGATTTTTAGTGAATTTTTTTAATTTATAAAGATCATTGTTTCTATTTCTTTTTAATATTATAATAAGTTTGTGAGGTTTGTCTTTTGTAATAATTATATATGTTATATTATTGAAGATAGTTAAATGACCTATATTAGTGATTTTACCAAAAAAAAAAAGATGTTTCTATAAAAATCAGGTATATACTTTACATCTGTTATGTTCTTTATTTCTTTAGATAGCAAAGAAATTTCTACCATCCCTTGTCCTTATATTATGTGTGATTATCTGCTGATTGAAGTAACTAAAGATGATTGCAATGAATTTAGGCTAATAAAAGATGATATATTATCAAAAAAATAAAGTAAAGATTATGAGCCTAGGATCCACTCTTATTTCCCTATGAAGCTAAAAGCATCAAGTGCCACCTTCAAGAGTTCTTTGAAAAATAAATATGATAAGTAATATTTATGAAAATGGTATTGATGAGATTGATTTTATACTAGCTCTATAAATAATTTTCATACATTTTAGCTTTTGTGTAATTTCTAATAATAT